ATGATGATGATGATGATGATGATGATGATGATGATGATGATGATGATTGGCGGTTTGTTCTTGATGGTTTCCGGTTCATTTCGGATCCGACCGAAGCCTGACGGCTTGTGACGAACGTCGCCCTGGCACATGGGGAGAGACGTTTTCCTTCGTCCTGGGATGAGCTCAGAGCATGGGACGAGGTGTGGAGGCTTTCAGCAGGCTTTCCTGAAGGAACTCGAATGACAGGAAAACCCTGGGATCGGAACCAGTCCGGTAAGGTAGCAGAAATCTTCGAAACGAAGACTCTGGAGACTCTTTAAAATGGATCTGAGCTGCTCAGCATCGATCTGAGGAGTTCGTTGAACGCCTCAAGACGATGGAAATCCTCCGAGGCCACCAGCTGGTGAGGGCCAGCAGCGCCCCCCAGGCGCCACCAGTGGGTGAGGACGTCGTCGAAACTCGGTCTGGGCGGCGACATGTCGAATCCCTAGTGCTCCTGGCCCACCTCCTGAGGTTACGGTGCTTGGGGTGGGTTGAGGGGGTCTAACCACCTTCTGACAATATGGTTGGAGCCCTATAGGGAATACATACACAAACACCTAATGACCAGCCAGCGAAGAGCCGGCAAGCACCGGGTCAACATTCCATCATTCCAGCGCCGTCGGCCAGGGCAACTTTCTGAAAGTGCCTTGGGACGTTGTCAACGTGAAGGGCCCTGGCTCACACCTTCTCAGGCGCGGGTTCCCCCACCCGTCAGTTTGCTGAGCTGAAGTTTATGGGAGGCTGGGCTGCCAGAGCAGCACGATCTACGTACCATTTACAGAGTGAAGATCGATTGGGGCACAAGTGTGACATTATTTGACTGTTCTGATTTGTTGATCATTGCTGGAACTCCCAAAAGGTCGTGTGCGCCATGTTTTGCTGCGCCGATACGCGGCGCCACGCCATACAGTGCGATGTTGTATGGCGTCAGCGCACTTCGGCTGACCAGGCTGCGCCATGGTGATTGGCTCCAGCAAAGCCCGAAACACTACAGGAAACATGCTCGATTGAACATCAGTAGACGATACTAGATTCATTAGATGTCCATGTCATAGTCTGCCAGGCTTCTCTTTTTTGTGTGTGGACTATAAATGCCACCAAACACCTTACACAACTCTCCTTGCCAAAAGGCACTTTGTGCTGCAAGAGGTCAGCGCTGGATTAGAGCAAGCTACACTCCACCATACTCCAACTATATAGGATTATATAGGTGACGATGTCCCACAGTACATACTACATATATCTACATATCATATAGAATAATAAGCATGTTATGTATATTATATTTTGTACTAAATAGTATAGACATCCCCGGCCCCCGGCTTTGCCCAACCAACCATGATGTCCTTGCACATCATTCACTGAATCGGTGTTCGGTCCTGGCTGGCAGAAGCGTGGCCAGCTGGCCAGCTGTTGAGACCCATGGCGTTGACGTTGCTGTTGGCCAAGTTGCTTCCAGTGTCTTTGACTTCATATGCTTGATGCATGGTGGATGGTGGACATGAGTTGACATATCCGGACATCGTGAGGGAGGAGCTTGATCTACGACATTCTACGACCATTTATCGAACCTGAAAAAGATGGATTGTCTTACTTGCATTCAGTGGGGCCTACTGCCTAGGTGAGCAAGGCATTGTTTCAGGGCCAACATGTTTGTTAACGTGTCCAGTCCACGACTTGGGAGGAGTAGAAGGTGTGCACTGCTTCCATCCAAAACGAGCTCGTGCGGATTTGTGACGTGTAGAACTCATGTGAACTTGGGACGTCGATTCTGGGGTGCCAACTCTCCAAGAACATCACCACCTGGCAGATCTTTTCCTTTCCAATCACGTTTGAACCTACTTGACCTAACCCGGTGTGGCTGGCATCAAGATGATGGAGATGACCACCATCACCCGCAAACAGGAAATGAAGTGCCCTGTTTCAACCATTCGGTGCACGACTCTTTGGAGTCTCCTGGTCCCCCCAGAAAACTCCCCGTCGCTCGTGTGTGTGTTGAAACAACCCCGGTCTGGTTGCACCCAGGGAGCCCTGGGGATCGACAATGGCCTTGGTCTTACACCTCCACGTGGATGGAGATCCTGGAACAGCTTCGATTGCTTGGAGCCGCTGGGCGAAGCTCGGGTCCTCGGGTCGGTGTGGGGCTCCTGTGGGGCGAACCTCGGTTCACCCGGAAGACTCCGTGGTTCGGAACAGCGGTTCTCCAGGGTCTCGCTGGACGGCTTAGGCCTGGACCCTCATTTAGGCTCAAATTTCTGTTCAAGAAGATCTGCCTGAACCAGGGTTTGTCCAAAACTGCCTGCGGGCAGAAATCGTTATTCAGGCAGATGTTGCAAATTACTTGCAAAGCACCTAACCTGCAAATCTGCAGTTTTAAAGCAATTTCCGACATTTCAATTCGGGCGAGAATAGGCGTGATTCTGGCGTGAACTTTTGTGATCGGGCGAGAATTAGGTGGGGGTGTCTTAGCCAAGCTAGCTATGCTGAGCTATGCTTAGCTACGTGCTAGCTAGCTAGCTGCAAGCTTCTAGAAATTGTGCAAGAAAAGCACGCTTGAAAGACATTGCGGCTCACACTTGGAAATGGCCCATGGTCCAAGACCTCCACTCTCTGAGCTGTTCTTTGATGTTCTTTTTGACCTTTTCGTTGTTCATCACTCATCACAAATCCTCAAGCAGCTGATTCCATCTCAAATCCCCCTCAGGAGCACAAAGCAACCACCAGAAGTTAAAGAACCCTATAGACTATCCGAGTGACTCCCATACGTACCACAGGTCCTATGAACCTCCCTTGGAAGCCCTTGTCATCCTTTTCCCAACTCAGAGCCCATCTGATCCGCTTGCGCCGCGCTTGCGCTCGCTCTTCGAGGCCCTCGAGGATCTTGACTCAAGAACACATGATCGCCCAGATGGATGCGGTCCTCGACCAGTCCCGCTCGGTGGATGGAAAGCCCACCAGCCTGGCCCAGCCACACGGTTCGCACCGTTGGGGCCGGTCCAGACGTCGCGGCCCTTTGCCGTTCGGTTTGGTGGGTTAGGTGGGTCTGGATGGGATGTGGATGGATGTGACCCAGCGAAGCCCTGCCGGTCTTGGTGCGTGGTGTGTGTGTGTGTGGGTGTGTCAGTTTCTCGGTGTGTTCGGCGACGCATGGTCGACGTGACACACATGGACCTTTCTTGTAGTGCAGCGCACATTTGAGGCTGGGATTCGATTGGATCAGCATGGATGATGGCTGGCAGCGGTGCAACTGCAGCGTGCGCCAGGCCGAATGGAGATCCGGTGATTTGGGGTTGAGGGTCATAGCATGTCATTGTCCTTTGTTATGCTTTTCTCAGTCTCAAGATTCTCAAGCTTTTGGGGATCGTTTGGGCCCCGGTCTAGGAAAGCTTTCTGGCATGCAGACTAGACCGAGCCATGTGGTCCAGAAAGAGGATGGCTAAGAGATGCTAAAAAAAGCACTGCGCTTTGCGGTCCATGAGGGAGGGAGGGAGGGAGGGAGAGAAAAAAAATATAAAAAAATAACGACGGTTCTGATGAGCCAAATGGAACATCCCAAGACATCAGATCCAAAGACCAACAGCAGAGAAATGGGGATTTGTCGTTCCTTTGGTCGACCAAACAACCGCCTTGGCCAGGATTTGGATCCAACGCTCCCCACGTGCGACGGCAACCTTTGCTTCGGAGGTCACTGTTCCTGGCACGACGCGTCGGGACGCCCCAGGGTGCGGCCTGACCGGTTTCCTGACATGCTGCTTGGCATAGCGTTTTGGACAGGTTGCTGTAGAGCCTGTAGAGTCTACACCTGCCGTCAACTGACCTTTAAGAGCTCGCAAAGCTCACCAAAGTCATTGCACAAATGTGTACAAGAAAGAAGGGTGGTGTCTTGGTGCATGTTTGTGCTCCATACCTTCTTAAAAGGCTTGCATTGCATAAATCGCATAAATACGGCCGGTTGGCACAATCGTTAAGTGATGTTAAGTGTGTTGCTGCAAGAGCGAGACTTGTTCACCTGATTGGTCCTGATGGTATGTGACGATGTTCTTTTGTACTCTCTGGCCGCAAACAGAATTCTTATCACATATATCCATATATAATACATACAGTATAACAATATATAAGAACACTGTTAAGGCTTGACGTTGTCCTTAGTTTAAGGAAGAAGCTCGTGGACTATGGCCATGCGCGGCAGTTGAAAGTTGGCACTTACCTCAACAACTGCATTTGCCGCTTGCTTTGTCGGTGGTCAATCCTAACAAGAGGGATCAGGGTGAAATCTCAGATCTGCGGGGCTAAATCCGAAGTCCAACAGATGAGGACAGTGTTTGTTGTAAATTTGGATTTCCTGGTTGGGTCTTTAGCCAAAAGAAGTTTCGCCGGACTCTTACAAAGAGAAGCACGTGAGCATCGGTGTTTCCTATTGGGGAACCTGCACGGTGCTGAGGTAATGAGCATGGTGAGCCGCACTACGAGGAAGACGTCGCCTGGATGGTCCATGAGATGGGCTTCGATGGAGTGCAGCTTGGCCTTTGCTCAGCAAGACTTGCTTCAGATAGGCCTGCTTCAGGTGGGCAATCCAAAGCCCTTAATGTTTAAACACATAACATTAACATGTAAAAAAGAAACAGCTCTCCATAGGCCACCCTTGCGTTGTCGGGTGGCCGTCACTTCAAGATCAGTAGCTGACTCCGCACGACTATATGGGACACTTGCGGCTTCGGGGGTTTGGGAGGAGACCATCCGGAGGAGATGTCGCATATAGGCATTGTCCGAAGCCAACAGGAAGATCGACAATTGTGGGAGCTCCACCAACGTGACACACTGGGCGGAGCTCATCAACCGGACGGGCAAGGCCCTACGCAGCTTGTCCCAAGGTATGAAGAAGAGCAACAACAATGGTGGGCCAAGACTTCATATTATTTGGAGGGCTCTGTATTTGGAGAGATCTGAAGGATGAAGTCGGATGGAGTTGGGTGATGTTGGGTGAGTTCAGTGCCTGTTGGCCGCATCAAATGTGATACGACCTGGGACATGCTCCCGAGCGCCAGCGGGGCAGCCTTTGGAATCAGCACTTGGCCCCTCCAAGCCTTGTGGCGCGGGAAGTGCAGGTTCACCGGTCTGCACTTACGACATCCACATGCATCCACTACGTAGTCCATGGCCCGTTCCTTGCTGTTGAACACCCTACCTCAACCGACCTGAAGATTGAAAAGACGCCGGTGGGTCAACCGGTGGGTCGCGCGTCGAAAATCGAGGCATTGAAAATTGCCACAACTCCTGGCCCGACTTCAAGACCGGCGTTTGCCCCATGAACTTCTTTCGCACAGGCCTTTGATTTGTAGCACCGGCCGGTTGCCTGTCATGAGACAACAGCAGAAAATGCTTTCCATCTAGGATCACTTCATCCTCGAGATTTGGATGGCACCACCTAGTTGTACAGGAGTTCATGGTCATCCAAGGGACCAATGCCATCCACTTCCACTGCCTCATCTCAGGGAGTGGACCATGACAACCCCGCGGACCGTTTCGATTGCACATAGGTACCGATCATCCGTCCGGAGTAAAAGAGTCGCCGTTTCGACAGGTGGAGACATCTCCGCCGACATCAGCTCCATCCTCAACGAAGCGTATGTTCCTCGACGGCGTAGCAGGAGGAGGGCAGTCAGGAGCCTTTTGTAGCAGAATAACTGTGATTAGCCTTTCACAAGCTACAAGTTGAGTTCTGAAAAGAAAGCAAACACGGATTGATTGATCTCAATCACTATTGATTTTTACGTCTTACATCAAGAAGGCGGAAGGCCGGGCAAACTTCCACTAGACATTGAGTTCGGTATGGCTGAAAGAGCGCAAGAACCACAGCAAAGGAACCAGGTCAGACCTCAAAGTTATATAAGTTTTGAGAACGTGATTGTAGAGGAGGCGATTTTGCCTTTGCAGCTCACAGCAGAGCTTCATGCGTGTTTTTCTTTAGGGAGGAAACGCTGAAAGTCTAAAGAGTGACTGAATCCAGTTCGGCCACTCGGAAGCTATCATGCAAAGTGCCAGTTAGGCTGGCTTTAGATCTGTGCCAAAACAAATCATATCCCCACACGCAAGCAATAATACAACCGACGAGATGCTTCTCTCTCACAAGGGTCTTTGGCCATCAGGTCAGGAAAACAACAATTAATGGCGCAAGGAATTCCATGCCACACCGACCTTCTGCGTGGTTTGGACCACTTAGTTCACACTAGCTCACCATTGATTAGTCAAATCTCTTAGACCAGGGAAAGTGGAACTTGGCAGTTTTGCGGGCATTGAAATGCCGCAAAAGCTGTATTTGTTAAAACCTGGAATTCCATTACCCACAGCTCCTTAAGGCCACGGTCGACGCGGCCGATTTGCCTGAGCCCCGCTCGGGCCCGGGGTGCTGGGCCTATCCTGACATGAGTGAGGCATGCTGGGCCTACCTTGGTGATGCATAGAATGATGCAAGCTCCTTTTCAATTCAACAAATGAAACATGTGCATTATGTTTAACTATGCTTGTTCTTGGTCTATGTTTCTTCTTGTTTGATGCCAAATGACTACATGGATATGTGTGGAGTACATCTTGTTCGATTCTGCAGCCAACATAGCCAGTGCACCTCTGAGTTTGCCCCACTAAGTGTGACAGGTTGGTAACTTTGCGCCGGGTCCTTCACGCGATGATCAAGAAAGAACACATTGGGGGCCCTTTGGCTCGATATCACTGTTTGTGGTTTGAGCAGCGTTGCCGGTGCTTAGGCTTTCCTTTTCTTTCTTTAAATGCCTCAACTAGGCTTGTCTCGCGGCCTCAACTAGGGTCTCTCGATTTCTGGCATGCCTCATCAGCAGAAGCCACACCAGCCCCTGAAGACTTTCGGCATTTGAATTCTGGACGCTCTCGCCTTGCGTTCTTCCAAGAAGTTGTTTTCCTTTGGGGTTGGAATCGAACAGGACTTACTACACTACAACCGAACGGACCAAAGAGCTATGCTGGGAACTGCTAATGAGGTTGTGGTCGATCATCTCCTCGCCTTTGATTCTGGGGTTTGTGCCTTGCACCAAGTGCTGCTGCTGGAGGGCGTTTGACAGAGAACCCGCTGGAACCAGTGGGGATATGCTACTTAGAATTACCGGAATTACTAGATCATCTTTGATCTGCTTATATAGCTATCAAAATTCAAGAGGCGCAAAGGGTGATCAGCAGAATGAATCCGTGTGTCAATGTCCAATCAATCTCAGTTTATGGCATGGGCAGCCCTCCGAGAAGCAAGACCAGACATGACCATGCATGTGCAGCTCAAGGGGAGTGCACGATTATGATCAACGATGCTGTCTCCCATGCAAGTTGATCGTGTTGGCCCACAATTCGAGTTTGGGCACTTGTCCTATGTCAGCTGAAATGTTGTTTGCTTCTCCTAGGGCACGCAAACAAACAGGATACTTCGTCGATTCGATGTTTGAGCAGAGTGTCTACAAGGGACTCCTTCACATTCGTTGACACGGCGGTGTGCAATTCCATTTCTCCGGTGGAGGTCACCCTAGTTAACCCAGCTCCCCAAACCCAGGACTTGCCCAATATATGTTTCCTTTTTGCCCACGAGCGGATTCCGCTGCCCAGGATCTGAACGACTCCCAGACCATGGACGGGGTTCGATGTCGTGCCGTGTCGAGCGGTTTCTGCCGGGCTGGAAGACATGGACGGTAAACCAGTTGTTGAAGGGTTGGTTTGAAGTCCGTTTGATGAAAGTTTGTAAGTTCTACTTGTTTTGTGTTTTTTCTCCTTCGTGCCCAAACTTACTTACTCAGTCATGTTTGTTTGTTCTTGATTTCGCCGACAAGACATAGTTGAAAAATGGACCGTGACAGCGCGAGAACAGAAACCCAGCTGATTTGCCCACAGCCTTCATGGCATCTAACCTCCTATGCTATCCGTACGCCTGCACCGTGTCATGCAGAAAAGCCAGAGGCTTTATGACCTCTTCCCACTGTGTCATGAAGGCCCTCTTCCCATCAATGACATGTTCATAACATCTTCGGTAGAAAGGCCATAAGGCCACACAGCAGATGAGAGGAGAGAGTTTGGCCCATCATCACCAACACTGATGCCCTTCGCGTCTCTGACACCTGGGCCGGGCATCCGGGCACCTTGCGCCTTACGCGGCAGTGGCGCGTAAGTCAAGCACAGGGGCGATCCCGCTCGGTGTGACAACCAGGTGTAGAAGTCCAAGGAGGGCTGGTGGTGGAGCAAAAGGATTGTCTTTAAGTTAGCAGGCAAGTTCTTTTTCCAGCTGATCGTGTCACATCTAAGGGATCTAGAAATCCCAATGCAGCAAGTGTTTGATTACACTTCTAAGTCGTGCAAAAGGCATTATCCAGTACCAGAACATATAAACTCCCTAATGTAGTCCCTTGATTAATCAACCCCCCCCGGCCCCCCCCTTCAACAACCAGGGCCTCCAATATAATCTACAAGAAGACTAATCAAAGGACAAAAACAATTAGAATCATGTTTAAAATATTCTTGGCCTTCTCTGGCAATATTAAAAATAAAAGGGAATCAATGAAATCTCAAATTGAAGACATCTGGAATACTAAAATATAAGGAAATCAATAAAGTTGAAATGGAATTCTCAATATGTTAATGGAAATCTGAATCCAAAGACCTTCAAAAGCATCCAATACTTTTGAATAAGGGTCTTGTAAAGAAAGTGTGCACTGACTTTTGGGAACTTTTGGAAAGCTTGAAGACTAAAGAGCTTAGGTAAGTAAAGCAAATCAAAAGGAAAAGAAAGGGAATGAATACAAGTTTACTTAAATATGTGTTGAAGCCTGAAATCTCTAGACATTATTCTAGGGCCCCCCTTAAATAATGTCAGAAAGCTGCTTGCTGGACTACCCCCTGTGCTTGAATGATGTTTCTTTTTCCAATACTTTTGAATAAGCGATTTTGTAAAGAAAGTGTACACTGGCTTTTGGAAAGTGTTGGAAAGCTTAAAGGCTAAAGAGCTTAGGTAAGTAAAGCCTCCAAAAGCATCAAATCTCAATGGAAATCTCTAAATGTTGAATAGAAATCTCCATCCAAAAGCCTCCAAAAGTATCAAATCTCAATGGAAATCTTCAAATGTTTAATAGAAATCTCCATCCAAAAGCCTGTAAGATAAGCAAATCCCAGCAAACTCAAAAGGGAAAAAAGTAAACTATAACAATTAAAACAAATCCACTACAACTATCCCTGCCAAAAAAAATATTCTGGGGGCCTTTATTAATCAGTGCAGGAGAAAAAATAATACATTATTCTAGGGGCGTTTATTAATCAGAGGACCACATTATATAGGACGTCCCTATCTTCAGGTCACTGATCTAGGTGTATATATGATGCCCATTATGTTTATATACATGCTGTATATATATACATACTGAATCGTCAACCATGGCCGGGTGGCTGGGAGTGCCCCAAATCATCCACTTGCAGCCGCTGGAGCTTCACTTAGGATTCAAAGCTACCCCTCCACGCGCGATGCGCTTGCAGTGGTACAGGGCCCATGTGATGGCTCAGTGGAGTCCACGAAGTGGAGCTTCCAAGGAGGTGCTGCTTGGGGGTGCCCGAGATGCAGAGCAAACTAAACGGTACAAAAATCACATGTATCAAACTGGGTTGTAGGGAGATTGACCAAGCCTGAAACCTTTGCAGATGGGGTTGCAGTGCCGGTAGCAGGTAGTGCTAGTTTTTTTTTTCTCGAGCCGTTTGCTGTGGTTCAATCTGGAGGGGCCTTCCAAACGCAAGGTGATAGAGAAAGTACACAGCTTCGAAACCACTTGGTCTTCTCATTCAGAGGGCAGACCCTGACTATGACCACCATGTGGAGCACTTCTGATAGTTCACAACAACTTCTTTGCTAGGGCACATACTTGAATCTGAGGAAACAAGTCAGGGAAACATTGTTTTGGATCCTTTTCGCCGGTTGCACCATTTGCATTCCGAGTGACGTCACAAGCAGAACTACAAACCATGAAAGCACCGGGGCCCTCGTACATCTTCAAGTCACCACTGCCACGGTGTTCAGCTCGATTTGCGCCTTCTTGGGCACATTCCAAATTTCGGGCTCTTACGGTTTTAAGAACCATTTAGTGGTGCATTTAGTAGTGCGTGTTATATCTATTTTTGTAGATGGGCCAAGGGCTTAATTCTGCGGCATCATTCAATGCGTTTGATCCATTAGCGTCACCAGGTCAGTCTAGTTCTCCATGCACCAGCAGGACAGCTCCGGACTCCTCTTCGTGGAACTGGGCCCACCTGCCTGACGACCCAATCGGTGCCCTGCCCACCGCCCACCACGGCATTTCCACATGTGCAGTGCGGACTGGCCGCGCGGAACTGTAGCAGCTCGGGTGGATCAGTTCGGGGCAGGAAGAGCAGGACCCGGACGCCAGGTTTGCTTGGGAATGGGCAACGAAAGTGAGGTGTTTTTTCTGGGTATTAACGGGATTTTGGACCTGGACAATCGTAGTTGTGGTACACATATAAATCTTACGAACAACTGGCTGCTGAAGGAATTCCCCACAATAAACACTTGAAGAGGGTGCCTTGATCAGTGGAATCCCAACGGTTCCGTGTTGAATGGCCAAACAAGTCTTAAATGGTTATCCCCATAGAAAGGTCATACTTGTCACTTATGACTTATGTCCATTAAATGGCAGGAATACCATTAACAAAAAGAAGCTTCAAGGTCTATGGCTTCTTTTCCCCCTTATCCCGTGCTACTTCCTTTCACTCCTTTCACTGCAGCTCACGCACCACTCGCACCACTTCCCCCAGGCGAGTTGCCCTCAGGGGACTGGACTTTGTCTGGTGGCCGGATCCAGTGGAATGACCACCATAGCCAGTTGAGCTGCCTGTTCCTTGGCGATATGGGGAGGCGCAAAAGCAGCAAGAGCTGCAGTTTCAAGGAGCTGAATTACTTGTGGCTCAGAAGGATGCACAGTTGTAGACAATTGTTTGTGACCCAGGGGGCTCTTAGTAGCTCTCAACTCCTTCAAAGAGATCAGTTTCAGTTTCACCCGTGGATTCCCAGCGCGGGATCTGGGTGGTTCGGTCTTACACCAAGGTGGGCTCGACTGACTTCGGCTCAGGTATGCCAATCCCATAGATTTCAACACATCGACCGGATACTTCACCCGGAAGGCTGCCACGGTGGGTGTCTCTGCCACTGGATTCTGGATTGGGCAAAACTCTCAGGGTTAAGAGGGCTCCCCTGGAAGTGTCAAATTCAGGGCTTTTTCTCGATGTTCCCCTTATCTATCTATCTTATCTCCATGTGGGGCAATGTTACTTCCTTGGGATTGAGTGCTTGTGTGGGCCAGCGCGTGAGCGCGAATGATCCGTGTGATGAGTTACACGACTGTGGTAATGAGGGATCTACTGGGTAGGCTAGGCAAGATCCAAACAAGCTAACAAGCAGCGTCGACAAATCCTCCGGAAAAAAAAAAGTCCTTGCTCTGGATCTCGTGGTGTAATAAATCAGTTCTTCTACACATATATTATGTATAGTCTTACTGTATAGTGGCTAGTGGTCCGCTTCTGTGGAGTGTTGTTCATCCAGTAGGCTCCACCACATCCAGCGCTTGGACTCTTCAGGGCTTTTTTCGCTGCACGATTCGTGATTCGTTGTCGCCTCAAAGGCTTGGCGAATCGCCCTTGTGCTTCGAACATCGGCGTGTCTTCTCCCTCACCCTCCCTTCCACCGCCCACCTTGGACCAAAACCACTCTAAGGCTTGCGCGGACGGTCCGCGCGGACCGTCGCCCTGGGCACATCACATCTCCGAGGGCGCCTCTCCTCTCCGCGACTTGGCGCCGGTGCCTGGGACGGCAGATGGTGGGAGTTCTGACTAATCCCCCTCCCCCTGGATCCACCAGGGACTCGTAGGGACTCTGTACCCATTTGTCCTGAAGATGCTGAAGGAGCTGAGTGAATCCAGTTGATCCGCCAGTGTCCTTCGTGTTGCTGCAGGTGCCCAGGAGAGCGGCTTCTGCCGGAGAACGCTCGTTGACCTCGGACAAGAGGAAGTTCTCGTTGACCTCCAAAGGCCTGCAATCCCTGAAAATTCGGAATGATCGTCGAGTGGGAATTGAGGGGGGTTCTGAGATGTGTAATGATTGTAATGATTTTTGTAGATCAATGTGGATCTCTGGCCTGTTGATTCATGTCTGAAAATGGTGGGTTTCTTCTTCCCTGAGTCCCTGATCGTGAAATATGCCAAAGCTTTTGACGGACAGTATCAGTAGCACGCAATTGCTGCAGTTTTCCACCGCATCCGCAACTGCTCAAAAAAGGCTGAAGGACAATTGAGGAAAGCACGATTGTAAACTTATCATCCATTCAGAAAACTCGACTGTTACTTGCTACCTGTTCTCATTTGTTCTATAGGGTGATATTATATAGGGTGTTTGAATGTGATTGATGGTTGACCTCAGTTGAGTCCTTGCATTCTTTCTGCGTGCCCTAGCTGTGTGAGCCACACCGGAGGCGAGCTGAAAAGCGACGAGGCTGGCGAGGCCACCTGCTTGCGGGTGGCACCAGTGAGCGGGGTGCAGTTGTGGGCCAAGCCGATGAGCAACAGCAGCGCGGCAGTGCTACTGATCCTGGGCGGCAGTGCTGGGCAGTGCTGGACATTTGGTGCCAGCCGGGGCGGAAAGAGATGTTGCAAAGATTTGCAACAAGATTCAGCAAACCTTATTCAAGACGTGAAGAGCTGTTTGGAACTGTTTTTCATCGGGTTGGTCACTGCATTGTTGAACATGAAATGAAACTGTTGAAATCAAAGTCTACAGTACTGTTCCTTTGCTTGCAATGGTCCTACTGGCCTGGATGTTCCCCATGTTTCCTCAAACATCAAGCTGGTGGAGAGCAACTTGCCAGAGATCCTGTGAGAGGGTAGATTGCGACGGCGATATCTTGTGAATACTCATTTGTCCTCTGCTGACAGCAGTTGAAACTGATGTCATAACTCGTAACGACGACTTATTTGTCACACTTGTGTTTTGATCATTCCCAGCTGAGTGAAATTCGATGGGTCTTGCTTGCACAATGGTGATCCAGCCAAAAACCAAAAAGAAGAAGCAGAGTGCCAGCAACAAACAGCCTGCCATCAACTGCACTGGTGAGTCACTGGTGAGCCCAACAGCTTGCGTATTCCAAAGATTAATCCATCAGCGGAAGAAGAGGTTCTTGATTGGCCAGTCCATGATTTACCAGCTCGTTTTCCAGGCTGGTTTGTTTAAGTTCGCAGTTACCTGTTGTGGGTCGGGGCTTTTAGGGTGCCAAAAAGACAAGAAGACAGGTTTGGAATCGCTGGTCGACACGGAATTTACTCGGCAAGTATCCTTCACGAGGATTCGTTGAAGGACTCAACATAAACCCTCAACAAACCTGGACTTGCCCGCACCAAATGGGCCGGTTCCACGCCCGTAGCCCCGTGAAGCCTCACCGGGCACGGTTTTCACGAGGCGGATCCACAAGCTTCACGTGTGAGCCGGGCCAATGTCTCGCGCGCTGCACGGCTGCACGGCCAATGTCTCGTGTCCATGGGAGTCAGCGCGGCAGTGCTTTTCCGGCGGACCGTAGGTCCTTGCAACATGCAAAGGTATGAAGCGACAATGAACAGAATAGCCCGCAACAATGATGTCACTATACCTGACTATATATCTATGTAGATTTAGGGAAAATGCTCTCGTATCGAAAGCAAGAACTTTGAGATGTCTCGATCTCGGGCAGTGGAAGGGCAAAGTTGTGTTGATGTTGCTTTGGCAGTTTGGTGTCCCGTAAAGAACATGCCCATTGGTACAAGGAGGAAGTATATACGTCAATTCCACAGCAGTGCTTCGTATCCTCCAACCTGTCTCCTTGGGGGGCGGCATTTCTACGACGGGCGTCACCGGTTTGGCTCGGTGGCTGGCGGGCCTTTGGCTCGGACTACGTGTTTCCTCAATGGCTGAGGTGATGTTTGGGCACGGAGGAGTTTCCCGGTGTCTTCCGTTGCTTGGAAGAGACTAGCAAGGCCAAGGCCGAGTAACAATAAGGAATAGACAATAGACATGGAATAGACGTAAGATAGATTAGATGCCCCAATGTAGTCTTTTGAGCCGTTTGTTTGGGACAACGGGGTCCTGACCCAGGGGATGCAGAATGGCACATCTCGCACCATTTCTTGAATGAAAGCAAAGGAAAGTAGCACGATGAAACGAATCCGAACTTGGCAGCAGTGGACCAACGAGGCAACGCTCCGGCTTCACTTCAAACCTTGGGCGAGCACATTTTACATTTTGACTTCTGACTTGGAGGCTATTTCAGTTTGAATTATTTCCCAAAATCCAGCCAGATTCCTGGGCCTGGGCTGCCTGGGCCCAGTCATAAGACTCGATGAGACTTGAAATTGCCTGACCCGAAAAAGGGGTCAGGGTCCTTCAGCTGGTGGAGAGGTCCTTAATGCCATGTCGTACAGCCTTTTTGGCACCAGGGCCTTGGAAGCATCTCGAATCTCCAGCACAGCCACAGCAATCTCCCAACTGGCGCAGAAGACGCCGAGTAGCGAAGCGAAGGATTTGACGAACTGGTGGCTGAAAAAGACGACTGGTGGCTGGGCCTTGGAGACCCTGGGCGCTGGCAAACGCGCAGAGGCTGGCGTCGGAAATGGGATGCAATGTAACAAATACCTGACAAAATATAGTAAGGCGTGAAGAAAACTTGGAATTGCTGGATGAAAGGCCTGCAATCGCATTGCAATTGCTGGATCAAAGGCGCAAGAACACATGAAGACTCCCTGTTGTTCTATACACTTCCCGCTTCTGATCCTTTGGAACCATGGACGGGTTATGGACGGATCATATGGCCTTATATGACCTCATATAGATTCATATTGGTTGGTCGAAGAATAGACGGGATAGCCCAGAAGTGAACATCCAAATACATCCAATATCATTAGGTCTATGACACCCAATCAACCCCCTCTACTCTTCCCAACTGCGGGAGCAAGACGACAGATCCACGCAGGGAGTCCACGATTCCGCTGCCACTACATTGTACCTTCTGAAAGGCGCGGCGCAGCTGCGGTTCTCGTTGGGATGCGAGCTGCGGTTCTCGCTGTTGGGGTCGATCGCCTAGGGTGCTGGTCGTCTTTCCGTCCAATCATGGAATTGGAACAGGACCATCACGGGCCCACTAGGGAACTGGCCCTCCACTGGTGTGTCGCATCGCTGGGGTTCAGCCGTAGTTCGGAGGCGCGTCCACGGCTGAGCTGCGGATGCCAAGGGCGTGGAGCAAAAACGAGCGAAAGCACGAGGTGGTCGAGGCGCCCCCGATGCAGCACAGCCAAGACAACTTGAGGTTGGCATGGTAGAATCGTCCATGGAAGGCCAGCTGATGCCTGCACAAGTACCGAAGTACCGGTTTTGGTGGACAACAGGTCCGGAAAAGATGGTTGGATTGAAGGAGATGCTTCATTGGCTTCTTAGGTCCTCGGAAGTATGTTTGTTGGGGCTGGAGGAGCGAGGGGCGTTGAATTTTGCAGCCTGGCTGGCATGGTCTAATTAGTCATGCGTCCGGGATGGGATCTATATATGATATGATATAAGATATAAGATATAATATATATATATATATATGTGAGTCTGAATAGATATATTTGTATAGATATGTAGAGGCAGCCCAGATCTGAGGGTTTCTTGAATGGACCAACTTCTCGACCTCCTTTCCTCGACCTGCAACGGCGCTTTGTAGTTTTGTGATAAATGATTATAAATTGTGGGTTTCTTCAAATCCAACTCAGAAGCTTTTGGCTCACATGCTCCAACCCGCGTCGGGCATTTGACACTCGTAGATTCCAAAGTGATGGACCTGTAGGTGGAGACATCCTCAAATAGATACGAAAGCTCGAAATCACTTGGCAATGCATAATGCGCGTCTCAATGTGTTTTACAGAACATTGCCAATTGGACATCCATATCGCTGTAATGACCCAGAGAACATCTACCCTGCATGGTATTTCTTGTAGCCACCAACCCACCGCAGGACTTGGTGGCTTGTGGGAACCAGCTCTAAAGGACGGCTCGGCAAGGTATATGAAATTATCGTAGTATATGTATGTATATATATATATATAATATGTTTTGGGGTGCAACTGAAAGCGAAGGATGTCAATAGAATGTCCTACACCGGGGCAAGTGGGGACTGATTCCTGCCTGAGCTGAAGTAAAACATCACAGCTCGACAGGTCGATTTCACGGTCGATTTCGCTCGTGTTGCCCTATTCTCCCAGAAAAAAGCACCTGCAACTCCTGTACAGTCCAGAGCGTCAACCTTCTACAAAGCGAGCTGTGGTGATGGACTCATGGCATGCAGATGCATGCGGTGCAAAAATGTCCCTTGAACGAGCTGAACTTGCATGGGATGACAGAACTTGGATGAACTTCTACAACATGTCGCCCTTGCCGCTGCGACATGGTGATGAGGAGCAGTGAAATCATGTCAAATCGACCTGCGGGAAGGCTGGGCCAGCCGTCAGAAGTGACTATTAGTCCTCCAAACTGCACAGCGGATTCACACATGATTGACAACCCCCTGAAATAACAATGGAAGTGGAAAACCATGTAAAACCGCCTGTCTTCTATAGAGGACTATGGTGTTACATGAGCGAATTACTCACAAATCAGCTTTTGGGGGCTCCGTGATGGCTTTCCTGCCAGCTACTCGGGCTATATACCAGCGAATCAGAGCGATGCCTCGGCACGGTCATTTTTCCTCAAATCCGCCCACAGCAGGTCAGGGTCGCGCATGATACTGTATATTTTGGGGTGCACATGTGGCTGGCTGGTGCAAATTCATGAATGGCACCAATCCGCGGAGGCCCCAACTCATCCGTCTCGAACAGGCGACCCCAGGCACGCGTCACTTCAGGCACCATGGGCTGCGGTGACAATATATCATCTTGGAAGATCTCGGGAGTGAATTCCTGGCAGTGTGCTCAGACATCCGAGCACCAAGTGTGCCATCAATTGGTCCATACCCCATAAAGGAATCCAATCACCAGAATCTTCGTTGGATCCTTCCAACCCACTGTTGGTAATGTAGAGCATGTCCAATTCAAAAGGAGGGTTTATTAATCAAGAGTCTACTTTATGTTCAACCACCTTCTTAAAAGAGCGTGCTTAACCGCCTCAACCGATGAATTGGGTCCCTCAAACTGTCACGGCCACCGCAGGATCCTGTGGCGTTGGCTTCCCCTCACCGCACTGGGTGGCCTCACCTGGGCCAACCGCTGCCGGGAGGTGGGAAGATGAGGTGTCAGGAGATGGGAGATGGGAGAAGAATCCAAAGTGGTGATGGACACTTGGGTAAATAAGCATCAAGAATCAAGATCGTGAATTCTTACAAGAAAAGAGGGAAAACAACATGAACTTGAACTTGCCTGTTTATGTTTGATTTCCCTTGTACGACTGTAGCTTGCTCTCCATCAACTGGTACGGGGGTACGGGTTCCTTCTGGCAGTTGCTCACATAGATCATCATAGATCATGAGGCCCCGTGTGGTCAGCCTGTGTTGTTTATCAGTGTGGTCAGCCTCGAGCCGTGAGCCATGCGCCATTCGAGCCGTGTCATGCGAAAGCATATGCGCCAGCGCTAAGCTTGCAGACCGTTTTAGCCTTCGCTTCAAGAACTTTTGATGAGATCACACAATCAATTTCTTGGTACCCGTTGGTCCCTGACCTTTTTGTGGTGGGCCATGGGCGCGCCCATAGGGGGAACTTTACAGCGTTGGAGCTTGTCACCAGAACGCGGGCTTCATGGCACCAGGTTTTCCAACAACACGCTTCCAATGTGAGCAAAGCTTTCGATTGGTCCCAGCAGTCCAACCATTTCAGAGTCCACACGCACCTCAGAGCTACAGACGACTCAGATGACAGGCATGGTGCTGGTTTTAGCTTCCACGAGTGCATGCATGTGTTTGGAAGGAAGCATCCATCTAATTGCTGTAGGTGTCCCAATGACCACTCCAGTGACGATGTTTTTCAACCTCCTCCCGGACTCCTCCCTCTCCGTAGGGAGTGCGCCCGCCAGTGGCGCAACAGCTCTTGGACGAGCTCTTCCTTGGGACCGGAGCCGGAACGATGGGGATAAGCAGTCGAATCGCTGGTCACTTGGGGATAGGCAGTCGAGCCTGGTTTCACCACTTGGGGATGGCAATCATTTGGACATGATGGCGACATGATGGCGACGCCGCTTTGCGAGGAACAGTCGGATAGTAGTCAGCTTCATCAAGGGCATAAGTTTCCTCAGGTTAACATGGCCTAGTTACCTACTAGAACTTAAGATGAAGGCCTCCTGTCCGAGGAGATATGTGATTCCTTGCTATTGTGTGGATGGCCCTTGATGAGGCATCCTTTGTCCAAGGATCAACATTGATCATTAAGCTCCATGTGAAAGTTTATAGGTTGAAAGTTGAATCAAGACCATGCATCACCATGTTGGGGTCACAAGGTTGAACTCTTCAACCGCTCCAAGTTGGCACCGTAACAAGGGCAGATACTTCAGTCACTTCAAATGGATGCAGATTCAAGCAATGCAGTTCCGAAAGCAGCCCCCGAGTTCCTGCAGGAATGATCCGATGCTTGACTTCGAATATGAGGACCTTGTTCCTGATACCAGTATGACGCATATGCACAACGCTCAGAAGTTGGGTGCTATGTGCGCGAAGGTGTTGTTTAATCAAATCAATGGTGGGGTGTTTCAACCATTTGAGCAGGTTTGGACGACTAATGGTGAGCTGCTGTTGGATGGCATGTGCTATCTACACTGCACAAGATGAAGCAAGTCAGTCCCCCATCCACACTAGTAGCAGTTACGATATATAAGTGGCGACCTCAGTTCAGCACCGTAAAATGTATGTTTCGACTTCCCTGCCCCCAACACGTCTTCTGTGAACACGCGCTTGCGTGAGGTGTGTTTGGAGGGCGGGAAGTGGTGCACGAAGTCAAGCTTGAACAACCTGAGACTTCCACATGTCACAGTGACGCAACATGAGATCGATGTGAATCGAAGCTCACCTCTGTGCAAGGTCTGCCAAAGATGTGGACCTGGTGCCGACCCCTCAGTGACGAACGCTTCAATTACAACAGGTTTCCACGACCATATTTCCACGGTAGTGAGAGAGCAGTGTTCGTTTGGTGGCAGTTGTTTATAGCTACTTCAGTCCAGTGGATCCTGGAAACCTTTGAATTTCTTTCATGGCATGGATCAGGGTGAAGGCCACTCTACGAGGGTCGACCCCAATCTTCCTCTTCCAATGTAGGTGGGTGGAGTGACACAAAGAAAGAGAGAGAGAGAGAAAGAGGGGGGGAACACTGATGTCCAATCCAGCTGGCATTCGTTCAAATGCAAAATCATTTGCCAAAAGGCGGACCACCTAATAGGATCCCATGGCTACCTTTCAAACATCTGTTGAATCTGTTGGGACTGTGACGTCAGGGGCTCCCCTGTTAGGTCAACAGGGCGCTCGTTCCGAGCGCCGGGCTGAGGCTGTCAGTGGCGAAACCCAGCTTTTGGCTCGAGCTCGGCAGCTTTGAGGCCAAGTCGATGAGTTGATGATGGATGAAGCCGAAGCAAAAGCGGAAAGAGACGATTAATTATTAGGATATAATATATGGATATATATATATATATGATCAGCAATGCTGTTGAATTGGAATCGGTTGGACGGAACTCATCCACCAGGTGCGCGGCAGCAGCGGCCAGAAATAGAAATGACTTGTAGCGGACAGTGCTTCGGAGCTCGTGTGAACGCACCGGGCGCGCTCTCGTCCCGTCCCTGTCAAGGGACGCGCGACATGTTTGGTGGGGGGTGGCCAACCAAGGGGACATGGAGACAAGCGAGTCGATGTTGAGATTGTAGTCCATGCCATCATCCCATCCAATATTGTACAACAAAGACTGGGAGGTTTCTGTGCGAACTCAGGAGTCTTTTCATACTGAAGGCAATGGGGATTTCTTGCAAATATTACGTAATCTTCCCTTAGCACAGATTCTGTCGTGGCTTTGCAGAGGTGGGTCAAAGTGAACACTGAAACCTCTTAAATCCCGTGTGGCAGACAGAGATGTTCGTATGATTTCATGGTTGGTCCCAGGTGATCTCCCTTCGCAAAAGCTGACAAGACCCCGTTCATTCCCGCCGTTGCTTTTCCCTGCTTGGTCTGCAGGGCGGCTCTGCCATCGTGGCCAGCGAGCGGATTTTGGCACATGGACTTAACACATCAGTCAGCAAGCTCAGGTGCTGAAAGACTGGAAGACGGACGAGTCTACCTTAGGAGTGTAGGAGAAGGAGTCAGAAGAAGTGTAGGACCATCAGGATTTAATATGATCTAGCCCACAATACAATACCAAATAGACCAGTACACCAGGGTGCTGGAGTAGTGGTGTATTTTAGGACCCATCAGGAGCCATAGAATCAGATGCCTGCAACTGAGGTGGTCGCCGTCGACACCTTCTTGGGCGATGTGCGTGTCTTGTGGGAGCGGCCCCCGGAGGAGACCGGCCGGTTACAGCTCCAGAGATGTGACTCACTGGCACAAAAAAGAGATACTCCCCCGGAAAGTTCACATGGAACCTTTAAAACCACGTGGTATTCAGAAAATGGTCGAAACCACGGGTCAATTCTAAGGTTCCATGCAATCGTTTGGGGAGGGGTACTCACTGTTGGACATGATGCCACTCTCAAGTTCCAGAGGTTGAGCATCAGAGTTGTGATTTTATTGATCGTTGTCTTGATGCCCCATGCACCATAATGCATGAGATAAATTGAGACATCAGGTCACCATCTCCAATTGCTTGGGACGCCTCGTTCGTGACTGGAACATTCTCATCAGTCATCCGCGCGCACCTTTGGTTGGATCCGTCGAGAAGAAGCCTGGCGGCCTGTTTATCCGTATGTCTAATATATTAAGACGAGCATCACTGAAGCTTCCATGGCTTCCCACCATGCCTGCGCTTGGAATCCATCGAAAGGAGCGCCGGAAACTGCTCCGCGCCGATGGCCGGATCACGCTCTTTGACCGCCCGGGACGTCCGGATTTGGCGGTGGGCGGTGTTGAGTTACAAAAGATCCAGACTCCAGACTGATGTACTAGATGTAGACATTAAGAGAGCATTAAGATGTAGAGTCCTTCTTGATATTTGTCCGCACTTTTGTTTGAAGGCAAGGATAGCATGCTTTTATATAAATGGCTTTAGTGACATCAAACAGGAGTGTGGCAAAACTATGTTCAACCAACAAGCGTTGACAAGCGTTCAGCATTCACTGTATAATTATAGTTTGGCTTAGTTTAGTTGCTGTGGTCCCTACGGCGGCTGGTCTGACGGCCGGTTGCGATGGTCGGGGTGCAGGTTGGTGGCAGCTGCCATAGATGGGCCCGAAGTTACTGACACCTGTTCAATTGCTTTCGAATCGAAGGCTGAGGGGGGAGATCGGAACTGGACCAGGTTTGGGCGGTTCTTATGAGACGGAATGAAGGACTGCAATCCTCAAAAGGTGCAAGTTTGCTCCTTTGGGCCAGGGGCCAGAAACCATCCAAGATCCAGCTGTAAGATGTTTTACACCCCAAATTTGTGGGTCCTCAGTTGACATAGAAGGCGCAATACAACTTGCAACTCCAATGACTTCCATTTAGCTGAGTTGATTCAGTTCGGGCCCAACACTGCAGGCTTCAGAAACCACCTCCGGAATGCAAACTTACACTACTGTGCCTGGAGCCTCAGTGGGAGTAGTGCTTCAAGACGGATGAATGATTATGATGCCCCCAAATCAGAATTGTGGCACACAAATGGGGCGCGCTTGCCTCAAAACAGTCTGACTGGGAGCGCAACTCACAACTCATGATGAAATCCCTGTTCCAAGACATCCATTCGCATGTGAAAAATCGGGCCACCAGGAGGTGCAGATAACATCCAGCCTTTCAAGTACCTTGGCTGCCTCCACGCAAATGAGATTGAAAAGGGCTTTGTTCATTCCTAATCCACTTAGTCCAGTGATTCTCCATCATCAGACTGTAGGTATTTTGCACATATGAATGCAGGGACATGCAGAGAACAACATGATCCTTTGTCGTGGGGCTCCCAAGTGCAGAACCCTCAACGATCCCACCAGTATGAACCCGACCCGCTGCGCCTCCCTTGACCAAACACACATCAAAACATCCATCCTTTTCACACGAGATCCATTTCATCGGCACATTTAGGAGCCTTTGATGGACCAGCACCAGTGGCAAGTCATGAGGTGTTGCCCCTGCCCGCCACCTCCGTGGTCGCCTTGAAGCTCGTGGACTCCTTGGCACGGCGCTCTCGGGCTCCGTGGGGGCCGCCCGGTGCGCCGAGAGCGGCGGCATGCGGCGCCGGTCGCGGGTTTGGCCCAAAGCTCCTGTTTTCCGGCGGCCGGACGCTGTGGGATCATTAGCTTGGTTCCTCCGTGAGGTCGGCAAATCGATGTGTCGGAAGAATCAAAGGATGACCTTAGTAGGGCGTGCCGGCGGTGACTTTGGTAGGTGACAGATTGAAACTTCTATTTACTTGCTCCAATAGTGCTCCGCAAATGATCCATGGTTGGAACTGGGGAACCAAGTCCTACTCTGAAAAGAAGTGCCTTGGCTGTACCAGGTTGCCAGAAGTGATCTACCTTGACTCCGCCCATGAGGAGGGGGAAGTGCTGTGCCGCCCTTAGCAGAGAGAGCATCCCTCTGAAGCCTTGGAGGTCCCTCCAGCACGAGCGGCCAAATTGGGCAACACGAACTCAGTGCTTTCTTCGAAAGCATTGGTTGGACCAACATCCTTGCATGTGAGAATACCTCTTGGACGATGGCCGTAGTCTTCATTTCCCACCTCTGACCTCCCACCACCCACAAAACCCGACAGCGCCATACTCCACCACTGGAGGGTCATACTGACTTTGGTGCCCAACGTCGCCTTTCAGGTTGGAGCTTGGCTTGGTCAGGGTGTCCCAAGTTGGGAACGTGTGTGGTGACGTGTTGCTGGCACGTGTCATACCTGTCCAATGACCCCTTTTCCCGTAGATTGGAAAGATCTCGAGAATCTGGAATGATCAAAGAATGATCGCTTCATATCGCTTCCATAGCAGCGAGCATCCACCTGCTCATGCCCTTAGGCAGGTCCAAACAGCGGGCATTCCTGGAATTCCTAGTGGTAAAATTTCAGTACGCAATACACGTGTGTACAGCGCACATGCTCTAGCTTAAGCAGACAGCTCCACTTTCGGGTGTGTGGGGGGGGGCAGGGCTTGGAGAGCCTATCTTGGTAGAGTTTCATCATTTTCATCACTGGTCGTCCTGGACACTACAACACAGGTGTTGCTTAGTATCGTCGTGGCTTCCCTTCTCCAAGCTTCGGCCCAGGCCTGGAAAGTGCTGTCGCCCGGTGGCGTGCTCTTTGGAGATGACTGGCTCCTTCCAGAAGAGGCGATGTTTCGAGCTCAAACCAGCGCCATCGGGAGTTGGGAACCGGTGGGACCCGTCCTTCAGCCCTCCTTCGGGAAAGATCACACCCAGCCAGACCACGTTCGATGAATACTAATGATCTCGAACGCCATATCAACTCATACATCCAAGCGCACCGGTTGTTGCCTGCCTGGCAGGGTGAGACCACGAGCTTGCTGGAGGGTGCTTGGATCTCAGTCTTTGCCTCCAAGGTGGACATCGACAGCTATGAAGGCCGGATCCAACGCGCCAAGTAAGTCCACCAGATCTTAGTTGATGGTTGAAGGAACTGAGTCTCAGACAGTCTCAACCTTTGCCAGCTGACCCTTGAAAAACAACAACCCCCTCCTCCACAAAAAAATAAACACAACTAACTAAAAACTCACACCCTGCCTCTCCCGGCTGCTGGCCCTCAGAAGGGGCGTTCATTCGGTTGCCGGTCTCATTGGTTTGAAGTCAGGGTTTGGCTGTTGTGGGTTGGCTGCTGTTGCCCAAAGACGAGCGAGCGCCGGCATTGAGGCCACGCATCGGGATGTTCTGCGATTTGCTAGCTTGATGGAGGACGGGTTCCCGGTTGAATGATGTTGGTCCTCAGGGATCTCCGCAGACTCTAGCTATCTTTCTACTCAGGTGGAGCAGGTATTCATGTTGCCGGTCTCGGAGCCTCGGTTGACGGTGATTCCAGGTGGCTTCTGGGAGCTCCCTGGCTCCTGGGGGATTGGTTTGTGCTGGGCTTTTCCACGATTGGATAGTTCATGATGTTTCTAGATGTTGCTAGTCCATAAGAAGTGTGGAAAAAAGGGATGTTGCTAGATGTCGACCTTCCCTCCATCCACAGCGTTCCCTCCATCTACCCAAGTTGGCTGTGAAGGATGAGCTGGACGATGATTGGGGGAGCCAGGTTCAGTCCTTGAGAACACTAGGCGGACTTGCCGGGAGTGGTCAGGTGGCGTGGCTGGGGCTGCTGGGAGTGGCTCGCTACTTGCGACATGCGCAGTCATCGGTTTTTTTCTTTGGCATGTGATCAAGTCATATGTTTGAGAGAGATTGGGTGGTGGTTTATGGTGGCAGATGACACCACAATTAGGGATAGCACTGGCACATGTTGTGCAAGTTTTTATCTTTGTAGGCTGTATGGGGGTTGGCTTGTGCAGTCCCGATGACCAGATTTGACATCGGATACCGGGATACCTAAAGTATCCTTTTAAGCTCATTGTTTTCCTCCCTCAGCTCCACTCTGTTTGGGGAGCTGGGGTTGAAGACTAATGCCAGAGTCTTCAAGACCAAGGACAGAGCATCAGTAGGCCATCGAGGAGGAGATTCTTGGACAACACAAGTAGCTGCCGAGAAATGGGATCATTTCATTGGATGATCATTGAATCATTGACATTGAATCACCAATCGTTGAGGAGCTCACGATCGTCAAATTCGGGTGAAACCCCTCGCATTGCCCCAATTACTCACAGCCCCCATTCCCTGGCCGATTGTGGCCAGGTCGTGTGAGGCCTGGCTTGTTTGTCTCCTACAACTCCTTCCAGTGCGGTACCCAAAGCTACTCCAACAAACGCAACCCATATTTGTAGCTTTCCGTGAATGCTACAAAAGATCAAGATTAAATGCAAAAAGGGTGAAAAAAAGGCACATCTTTCTCTCCGCAAGAAGGCTAGGAGGCCACGTGGATGAGCATTCCAAGATATTCTAACCCTACCTGTGGGGTGGTGTATTGAGCATGTGGGTGGACCATGCAGGATTCCCAACGGGACCGATGTTTGTGTTTGTTCTTCAGTCCAAGTTCCAAGTCTTAGGTGATCATCGATGAAGATCAGGTGCCAGTGGGGTGGGGCATTTTCCTTCCAGGTCCCAGGTCAGGAACTCAGTGAAGTCAGACCAAGGTGGTTCATGAAGAAGCTGCCCCACGTGACCTCTCGCAGCTCTAAGCCTTTTTGGCCAAGCGTGACTCAACAGCCGAAAAGTTGGGAGGAGTTGGGAGGAGCCAGCGGGTGATTCCCTGCGATCGGGCTGGATGGACCAGGATGGACCCGATCTCGGACTCACCAGGTGGGAAGAGAAAGCTGTTCGGTGGGTGTGACGGGTTTTGTGTACTGTAGGAGGGTCAGTCGCTGGGCCAGTCGTTGCGATCAGAAGATCGGCCGGGGCGTTCGAATCCGCCAGGCGCCGGAAAACGCTCCCATGGTGCCACGCGAGTCCGGGGGGAATCCACGCGACAATCGCCATCCCAGTGGTGATTTCGCCCAAGGTTAGAAGGAAGAACTTCGATCAAGAACCTGATAAATCGCTGGAATGCACTCTAGGGCGCTGCGAGACATCTCCGCTGAAAACACAGAAAGGAACCGGGTGGAACCTGCGTGGCACAAAAGCCATCGGGTGCTATGGCTTTCCTCCAAGGTGAGCAATGCAGGCCTTGGCCTCAGGTCGAATGACTTGAGGATATTCGAGCTGAACTCCTGAGAGATACCCAGACTCGATATGAGTGCTTGCAAGACTTCGAGATCTCTGGTTTCATTTTTGGATTTTCCTCGGAGTCTCGGTCCATCTCCATTAGGTTATATAAGGTTGGTGGCGACGAATTTTTGTTGATTTGTTTTGTTCCTCGTGGCCTATGGCACGGGGCCTATGGCGCTATGACCGAGGATATGTGTGTTGGAGCGCCGGTTTTCGCAAAGAGGACTGCTGTGACGAGGAGAACCGCTGGGAACTGCGCTGTTTCAGCATTGGTCCGGGAGAGGGCTGACGAGCGCTGGTCACTGGCCGTTTGAAACATCACAGTTAAAAGAAGTCGGGCTTGGTCACATGGGTGCAGCAGGAGCCAGGGATTCTCCACCTGGCTCGGAATCAAAACCAGATTCTGGTTGGTTTATGGGTTGCTTGCACCCTCGAACAACTGGGCAGGATCGGAGCTGGCTGACTGACTGGCGTACTTGGAAGTTCTCATTTCTCCGTGGTCCCCCGCCCCGCTTTGGACACCACCGAAAGCTCAAGAAAGGAACTAAAAACGGATTTGTTCTAGGAGTGACGGGTTATTCCAGTTCTTCACTTTTCCAACATGATCACATGGATTTGATGATCAAATTAGCTTTATCCTTCATACGTCATGTCGCTCAAACCCATCAGGCACGCTTTGGGCCGAGTGGCAATGCCAAATGCTGGGACTTGGTCCACAACTCAGAAGACAAATGCACCCAAAATCAGATTGACAACAGCAATGAACACTGGATAATTTGTTATGGTGTTTTTCCGATTCATCATTTTGTTTATTGAATTTGATTTGTAAATGGAAGGTATTTACCTACGAAAGATGTTGCATGTAATATTCAAACAGTATTATTAATATAATATTATAGCAACAAGAAATAGAACACACATATGAAATCTGCCGTAGGTGAGATGACTTGCACGAAGAACTCCGACGGCCACGGGCTCAAATAAGCTCCTCTCGTGCGGCTGATGGCCGTGTGTGCCAAGTGTCGTCGGTGCCTGCCCAGCGCCGGTGACACTTGGTGCTTGGGGTGCAGTGGGTGGGAAGCCCTAGGTGCGGAGTTGGGATTCGCGTGGTCCCATCCAGGTCTCCGTGTGGTGGCCCACGATATCGTGGTCAGCGCGGTCAGGCAGATTCGTGCTCTCCGAGTGACCCGAGCTGTCGTGCCTGGCTCTCAGGCTGCCAGAGGGTCCGAGAGGCCGAGAACTCCTGAGAGGGGACCCCGGGCTGGAACACAACCCGAGCCCAGGGAACCTAGGGCTCCCACTTTACCTCGATCGCGTGTTGAGGCTGACGAGCACTTGGAGGAGAAGCAGAGGCGTGAGGAGGAGAGCTCCTACCTTTCAGAGGAGGAAGATTCTGGGGCTGTGTCTGAGGCGACCATCATCCAAGACAAGGCCAAGATCATATCAGCCGAAGGACTGTCAGCCAAAGCTGCACCAGCCCCCAAGTCAGCCGTGAAGAGCGAGGAGATCGAGATTGAGGAGAAGAAGGAAAGTGCAGGAAACGAGGCTGGTCCAGAGACCGTGCCTGAAGTTGGTGAGAGAGCAACATCTTCGAAGGGACCCAGACCTCAAGAACGTCATCAACGTCGACATCGACGAGGCCGCGAAGGTCAGCGGAAGGAGAAAAAGAAAAGGAAGCGAGACCCTACACACAGGGCAGGACGGAAGCACCCGAGGTTGTACCGGGCAGACGCCAACCCTTTTGCCAAGGTTCATCGCAGGTTGGATAGCTCGTATTTGGACTTTGATCCAAATGCCCCAGCAGAAGAAGCTATTCCTGGCTCGCCACCCCGTGCCAAGCATCAATGACGGCGGAAGGGGAAGAGCCGGAGCGGCTTACAGAGGGCGGAGTTTTTGGCACCTACGATGTCAGGGACTTCGAAAGACGGCACTTGTGGTCTCCTCTGCCAGGCCGTGTCATTTTGACCAGCGTGCCAGGCTGGGAGGTTGGAAGAGAGGATGGCAAAGGCTTTCTCGTTGTGCTGGGTCAAACCCTTGCATACGATGGGAGCTTTTTGGTATAAGTGAGAATAATTGGCGCCGGTCGAGACGGTGCTTTGCATGCACTCTCAGGTTGGTTCTATCGCCGCGCTGGTGCTCGTCGCATTTGTCTGAACGAGGGGCCGTGCGTGGTGGAAGGCGGTGTTTTCCGGGTGCGTCAGCGGGAAGTTCGGGATGGACCCGAATTTCCGGCTCACTGCCTTTCAGAATTTGGACGCGAGATGTTGAAGCAACTCCAGGGCTCAGGAGGAGCAACACGGGATGCAAGTCCCCCTACCGAGGAGATGGAGGAGGACGATGCAAAGCCTGTGGAAAGACTTTGTGCCGAGGAGGTCGTGGCCACAGGGTCGACCAAGCGGAAGCGAGAGCGTGTGAGCGTAGGGTGCTTAAGTGCCCCTGCCTCCGCTCGCTTGGCGGCGGTAAGGCTGCCAGTTGTGATGAATGGCCACGCCGAGCCTGGGTCCCTACGGGGCCGGCTGGTAAGGCTGCAGCAAAGGCAACAGTGTTTGGGGCCTGGTCGACGGGCCGAGATAGGTGGCGACCCACCGGAACCAGGGGAGGTTTTCGATGCCGACCCTGCTCAGGACCAGTTGAGGACTGGTGCGAAGATTGGGACTATGAGGACCCTGGCTGGCGCTCGCCGAGCGGGGGTCGATGCGGAGTCAAGAGGACAAAAAGAAGATATTATGAGGAGCTTGAGGAGGACTCCACTGAAAAAGGGGTTTATAACCACTCTGGCCTCTTCGGTGGCAGTAGCGGAACCTCAGCGACAGAGAAACGTGATGAAGAAAGAGAAACACGCTGCCAAGAAAGCACTAAGGAGGTTTTGAAGGAAAATGGGCAAGGACGCCGCGGAGGACCCCGTCCCAAGAAGAAAGTCACAGGAAGGAAAAGGAGGTCATGGCTGGTGGCAATCCGTGCCGTGGCAAGGAAGACAAAAGAAAGGGAAAGGAGGAAAGGACTCAAAAGGAGACGCGTGAAACCAGTGGAAAGGCAGAGGCGCCTGGAGGCCGCGGAGGATCTCGGCCTGGGAGAGGCCAGAGGGCCAGACGAGAGAAAACCCCAAGAGGAGAAACACGGAAAAGGAGGAGTGAAGATGGCTCCCTCAAAGACGTCGACTATAGCACAGTGGCTGACTTCGGCTGGCTGCATGGCCGAGCTGGGAGTTGGGCTGTATTTTCAATTCTTCGTCAACCAGGAGGCCGATGAGAGCCGCCTGATGCACAGTTTCCGAGCAATAGCCTCACTGAAAAAAGGGAGTTCATTTGTGTGCCAGCTATCACAAGTGCTACACTCTAAGCGACAAGTTTTTCCGTTGCCGTTGTTTTCTTTCCCCGATTTGGCCTCCTCTTTTAACCCCTGTGATGTTCAGGCTTTTGTGTCGGCCTCTGCAGACCCCTTGGAACGAGCAGTCCAATGTTGGTGTGAGCTGGTCGTGCTGTTCGCTAACAACCTCGCTTTAGGTAAGGTGTGTGTGTCGGGGTCCAGGGCCACGGCTGCGCAGCGGGACCTGATGCAAGCGATCAAGCAGTCCGTGACCAGGATGTTGAAAGATGACTGCAAGGTAGTATGGGGTATTGATGAAATCAGGGATGATTTCCAGAAGCGGTCTGTGTCTTACACTGGAGAGGAAATTTGCAAAGCCGAGGCCCTGAGCCTAAGTAGAATTCAACCAGGACTCCCGCCAGAGGGGCATGGTGCTTCCGTGTCAACAGTTGAATGGGTAGGGGGAAGGACCCGGGAGCTGCTGTTGGATCCTTTTGGCTGTCTCAATCCCGACGTAGGCCAACCCCTACCAAAACTTCAGAGCAAGGTGCACATTGTCGCTGAAGAGCGACTGGAGGTGGCTCAGGAGCTGGTGCGGCGAGGAATTTGCCGTTGGACTCATGCGTCACAAGTTGCGGTGTATCGTGGCGAGCGCATCCTGAACGGAATGTTTGGAGTAGCTAAATCTAAGCTAACTGCAAAAGGGGAGACGGTTCTTCGAGTGATCATGAACCTGGTCCCGGTGAATTCCGTGCTCCGTGTCATTCCGGGCAGAGTGGCTAAACTTCCAAATATTGCACAGTGGCTCAATGTGGTGCTGGACGACAATGAGACCGTGCGTATCGCCCAGTCTGACATGGCATGTGCTTTCTACTTGTTTGAGATGCCGTTGGAATGGAGCCGCCTGTTGTGCTTCAATCTAGGGTTTGACTCTGCTACGTTAGGTTTGGAGGCCCTTGACGCTCAGGAAGACTTGTGGTACTTGTCTTGTTGTGTGCTCCCCATGGGCTGGAGCTCAGCAGTGGGAATTATGCAAGAAATTGCTGAAGCTGTCCTGCTTTCGGGGGGCCTGAGTGCAGAGTCCCAGATCCACAAAACTGCGGTATTGCCTAGCTGGATTGTCAATAGCAAAGCTGAAGGTTCTCTTTGTGGTAAACCCTGGTGGCACGTGTACCTGGACAACTTTGCTGGGGGAGCTAAGGTAACTGACGGCGACTGTGAGGAGCTGATTAGGTTGCAAAAGCATGCTGAACTTCTCTGGAGTGAAGCAGGCATTGTAGTCTCCCCTGGGAAGTCCGTGGTGGCCGCCGAGAGTGGTGTTGAATTGGGCGCATTCATAGGCGGAGCAGGACAGTGGATAGGTGCCAGCTGCGAAAGGCTGGTAAAAATCATTAAGAGTTCTTTGTGGTTGTTAGAGCAACCGCACCTCTCGAAGAAGAAGTTACAGATCATGATGGGCCGATGGTGCTTCGCTTTGCAGTTCAGGCGGCCAGGCATGTGTCAGTTTGATGAAGTATGGAACTACATTAGCTCTAAAGGTAGCTCTCAGGCTCAGGTACTTAAAGTGCGGTCAGAGGTGCTGTTTGCGATATTGGGCGCTCCTTTGTTTCACACCTGGCTAGGGGCTAGGATTGATGAGGTCACTACTTGCAGTGATGCCAGCCAAACGGGAGGAGCGGTCGCAATTGCCAGATCTCTTACAGTAGATGGAAAGGGTTTCCTGGAGATTCAAGAACGGACAAATATGCCAATGGAGGTTCCAATTGTCGTGATTTCCTTGTTTAACGGCATTGGAGGCGCCGCCAGATGCTATGACGTGGCTGGAGTCAAAGTCCGCGCCTTCTTAGCCTGTGATATCCACAAACCCAGCAATCGAACCACTGCTCGCAGATGGCCAGACACTATTTTTTGGGAAGATGTTAGGACTCTTACCAAAGAGAAACTGCGGGAGCTACTAGAGCACGTGGAGGATTTTGAGGAGATCCATGCCTGGGCAGGTTTCCCCTGTGTTGACTTGAGCAGTGTTCGAGCCAACCGGATGAACCTAGAGGGAAAATCCAGTGGGCTGATCCGAGAGGCTCATGCTGTATTTCAGGCTTGCCGTGAGCTCTTCCCCGAGGCTGTATTTCATTTCTTTGTTGAAAATGTCTCAAGCATGGATCACGCGGCAAGGAACCAGATCAGCGAATTGCTTGGAGTCGAGCCATATAAGGTTGACCCTAGTGAACAAGTACCTAATTCTAGGCCTCGCTATTGCTGGACCTCACTTCGAATGGAGATGTTTCCTCATCTATATTTCCGAAAGAGAGAAGGTTTTCATGAGATCTGGGTGGAAGGCCAATGGCCCGAGCCATCTCAATGGCTGACACCTGGCTGGTCACAAGACCTGGCCACGGTAGTCTACC